AATTGGAATATACAGTTAGCTACTGAGGCCCTAATAAAAATTTAAAAAAATAATAACACAAACGTTGTTATAGTAATTCTACTTTTTTAAAAAATCCTTTTCAACTTATTACGAGGGCCTCCCTTCAATTACTTTCCAAAAAATACGATTATATCGGTTTCTTTTTGTTACAAAGCTTATGTAAGCAACATAAACTAAGCATCAAAAAAGTGACAGAATTAATAACGACAAAGTAACAATTCACAAAAAATGAACAGCAAAACTTTGGTGAAAAGCTTCCGTTTATAAATTCTTGCCTTTTAATGTCAACCATCGATAATAATGATGCTTTGAAAACTATAAGAAACACAATAAAAAAAATCATCTATACAGTTTGCAACAAACCCCGTAGTATCAACTACAGAGGTTTCCAGTACTGAAAAATATTAATGCACTTTTACGAATCTTTCTTGAAACTCTCCTAGAAAAATTTCCAACTTTTGAGAGAAGTTACAGGATGCTGCTTCGTAATTATTCTTATAACATTAATAATCGGTTGTGTACGAGATACATAAGCTGGTCACATAGATCCTCGATCACGTCAGACGACGCTTCGTGCAGAAAACTTTCAAATCGTTTGAGTCCGTCAGAATTCACCTGAAATTGAATAACCCTACCATGTATTTTCAGTAAGGTTAACGTTCGGGGGTACCTACTGGAATATCCATAGGAGTTTATTTCTATCACTTCTACCCATTCACATTTACGCTTGAGGTTACTGTCATTTTGAAATACCATATTTCATTCTCATGACAAACCGAAACTATTCACTAAATATGGGAAATAAAACGTTTCATGCAATGGAGGAGTATCCGCCGTTCATTGTACATCTGATCTGACGTAGAGACTCGGTGTTCTGGCGGCAAAAGGCTCCTTAAACCAGGGTGGATCAATCTCGCAGCGCCTTTGTTTGTGCAAAACAACGACCGAAGGGTTCTGCTCTCAGTCGGCGCATTTACTTTACTTTCTGAAAACACTAAACTCGATTTCACTTGTTAATTCGTCATTTATGGCTTCCCTCTATCTATTCCACCAAAGAGCCTGCTTCTGGCAACACAAATTAAAAATTTCAAATCCAGTCCTGCAAGCTTGTTGATTCTAAGCTACAAAAATCCCACGCAGACCTGTGTCGTCTGCAAATGTTTTTCTTGATAGTGTTTTTTCTGGGTTTTTTTGGCTATTCCGTGTTTACAACTAAAAGTTTCATCATCATAGATGAGTTGAAATTCTGGAAATTTTTGCTGCGTGGCGTTTGGGCTTGCCATCTTTCTTTAACGCGATCACCATATAGCGCATTTCCTTGCTTAGTTGCTTTTCTCAATTTATTTCAGACGTTGAGGTATGCTTACCTTTGCTCACACCAGTTTTAACAACACTTCTATAAACAATGTTCTAAATCTGTTTATGACCGACTAATTTACTCCCACTTGCTACAGCTTAAACAGCCATTATAATCGCGACTTGATTCAGCAAGCAGGATTATCGTTCAACTACTCATGAATACATAAATATTTCTTTCATTTTTTGAGTGATGTAAGTATATCCTGAGCTGGCATTTTATGTAGAAAAAAATGTTAGCATTCTCTTCTTGATCTTGGCAAAGAACTGCGCTTTTTTTCTACTTTATATATATTATAAGTCTTCTTGCGCACCAAAAGCAGACGGTCTCATTCGAGTGAGAATTGTTGATGATAGAACAACAGCAGTTGTATGGCAGAAAAAATAACGTTAGACAATTAAGCCCTTAAAACATCAAATGCTGATCAGTACATTGCATGTTACCTCACACTTTACTGGTACTTGCATAAAAAATTTTCCAAAGTAAGACTCCGTCGATTCCTGTTGATGTTTTAACAAGTTATTTTTGCCGCTTTGCGGAAATTCGCCAGTAGATAAAACTGAGAAAAATAATTTTTTTGTTCGAATGTGTTGGGAGTTCTGATCACACTGTTTCATTAAAAAATTGTAAATTAATTTAACAAACTGGTCATTTAACATTTATTCAAATTCTACTTCAACTAAATTTTTTTTATTTCACGAAATCATATAACATTAGAAGAATTACAAACTTTAAAAAAGCAGTTACACATCTGTTTATCAAACTAGCAAAACAAACGATAAGAAAAGTTGATTGGATAGGCCAGTGTCCGCCTAGTTATCAAGAGTCGAGCGACAAACAGCTTTTGATTAACTGCGGTACAGTTGAACAACTTGAACACTAAAAGTGGATGACCCTTTATTAAGCATTATGACTTTACCATGGAATGACCAGGTAGTTTGAAAAGTTATTTATAGAGTACTAGTTTTTAAAATATCCAGTAAATTATTAGGTCATCAAACTACATTATTCATAGCTAAAATTAAAGAGTGACTTATTAGTACACGTCACTAAGAAATGTAACAGTTTAATGGAAATATTTACAGAAAGCCTGTAACACTTAAATTATTATGCACTGCATAGTAGTGTATGTTATGCGCATATTTTTGAGATCTTTAATGGAAAAAAATAGTTGCGTAACTTAGTGGCTGAAGAGACTTTACAAGTCTTCTTTAATAAATTTACAATAACGATGATGCAATGCTAAACAATTTCAAAAAAGCTTTTTAAAAAGCAAAAGTTTCAGTGTAATGCCACCTGTTATTCTTTATTGTATATCAACATGCAAAATCCTTCTTAAACTTTACATAATCTGAAAGGTTGAAAAGATGAGAAGCATTATGCTTATGGCTCAATCAGCAACATCTATCAAAGCTAACGTTTTAACAAGAATTTATAAATTGATAGAAGCATTATCGCTATGTACGTTTACCTGAATACCACAGAATTTTTCCAGGAATTGCAAGGTAAAGAAAAGATGCTTTGAAATTGCCTTACCAAAATTTGAAAGAAAAATTCTGAAAACCAATAAAATTAAGAATTGGAAAAATTTTACAAAAGTTTAAATTCGAATAAGTTTACCTCACTTTATTCTCTAATAAACTAAGTGGGCACCAGAACTCCGACAAATAACGGTTCATAATCTGGCTAATGAATTTTTCAGTTTTTTAAAAGCGAGTTTTCTACACAATCTTGTCTATAAGCTTACCTTTTCATCACTCTGCGAGTCCTCATAGCTTGACTGCTTTTTGTATCCGCATTTTTTGAAAAAAGCAGCAAAAAGGAAGTTCTTGATCAAAAATAATTCTAAAAGCCTTCTTAACATATCTATATGCATGCAGGTGTTTTGAAAATCTTCTCCGATAACCTCTTTGATCACCTGATAGATCGACAATTTCCGGATGTACAGCTAAAGCTCTATATTTACATAGCTTTTTTAAACAGACCAGAATGCGGCCGCAAAACACGTGAATTGTAAGAAGGAAGTTCATCCGAGAAAGTGGGTTTGAACCTTCTAGATTTCTAAAACCGCTGTTCCATTATAACACATACCACCGAAAGGTTGGTTCTGTGAAAACCGAGAGTAAAAGCGACACTAGAGTGCTAGCTTTTTAAAAATTTAGAATGAATTACCTAGGCAAGTCTAAAATTCTAAGAAGAGCATTTCTAGAGATAAGCACGCTTAAATGCAGTAGTGTCAATTTTTTGCTAGTAATTTACCATTACTTCCTGCTTATAAGGTTTCGAGTTTGTCAGACTTATCTAGAAGAGCTAGGAAAAATTGTTTTGTGTCTTCTAAGGATCTTATTTCAAATGTTTTGTCACTTCCTCTATAGCAATAAGTCACTGTGTAGCGATGAAGATTTTGAATAGTGGCCTAACAATTTTAAGCTGGTTCCTGAATCTCACAGTGAAGTTCCCGATTTAATAAGACAATAAATCTGGAAGCAAGCGGTGACAACTAAGAAAAGACAAGCGGTGACAACTAAGAAAAGACAAGCGGTGCAGTAGTTCTAGAATGACAGAATTTCTGTCTCCAAATAAGCGCTGGACCAGAAAATTTAAAGGTCGCTGTCCTACTGTCACGCACGCTCAAACAAACTCTTTAAATAAACATTGCACTTCTGGTCAAGTTCTGGATTCGATCTGCCCTACACTCTTTTGGCCTACTAGAAGAGAGCAGAACCAAAATTGAAATGAACTATGGGAAGCAGAAGTGCGGGTCAAGGAATTTGCAAAAAATAGAAATTTGAACCATGAAATGCTGGAAGTCACAAGTACAGAACTTCAATGTTTAGATTATACCAAGTTATCTCGTAAAGACTAAAGAAAGAAAACAGAAGTGAAAAGTCATCAAAGGATATAGCATCAAAAGTGAGAAAAAGAAAACGGTTTCATAAAGCAGCAATGAGTAAAAGCGCCAAACTTTAGCATGACTTCCAGAAAAAAACTCCACTTCCAACTTCAATTTCGGCATAACACTCAAAAATCGCTCTCATTAATCAGTTTTCGCCACCCTCCTCAGTTGTTTCAAAAATTGCGCCCAAAAAACATAGCTTTTGCTTTCAGGCACAACATCAGAAACTAAGCCAAAGAATACCAACCCCCGCACTTCACAGAATCCGACCAAGAAATTAGAATATTTCAAACGACTCACAACCACAGTTAGCATCAACTGAAGCGAATAGGTTGAAAAACATGAACTCCACTGTTGCCGTCAAATTACAGCAAACACATTGCTTACTTCAAAAACACGAATTTAATTAAACGGTCGTCTCTGCTCTGGCTTAATAATAGTTTGCAACCGTGTCAAAGTTTTGAAAGCTGTCCGTTTAACGGAACAGCTTATCATATCAAATAAAGCTCGTAATCCTCGTAATCCCCTTCATAAAACAATCTAATTAAGCTAACCCTTACATGTCAAACACTTTCGGTAACCACAAACTTTTATCACAGCTCCTCATATACAAAAACATAAGAACATTAATTAACAAATATGATGCATCATGAAGAAGATACTTATAAATTATGAAATAAAAATGCGCAGATGAAGCGCACATTTCACAACGATGACCCGCGTAAATTACGCGGCTACCTTTTCAAAAAGTTTCTCTTTCGCCAAAAAGTCTTTAGTCCAAGGATGATCAGCATGGTCTTCTTTTAGCTGTTTAATGTATCTATTTGTAACCTAAAAATTACATATAACAGCTTCTTCACCAACAAACATGAAACCACATCAACTCTTGAACCCCTACGTTACGTGCTGGTAAGCAACAAAATTTAAAACAGTTCAAAAGTTTATTCAAAAGAGCATTATCGATATCCTTTTGCGCCTAAAAGTCACTTTTATAAGCTGAATTTGCTTTCAAAAACCTTTTTAGAGTTCTGCCACCCGAAATTCTTTCAGAAGTGATACCCATTTCCGTTTTATCAACACCGTTGGCTGAATTTTCCATCAAAATCAATTTTAAAAACTCATGAAGTTTCAGAAAGTCCACGTGGCCATTAGTACAAAGAAATTTTCTTTTATAAAACAGCTAGACTTACTTCTGGAGGCTTCCCTAAAAACTGCGTTACTACAACAAGGTTGATTAAAGCCTCTGCATAGTTGGCATCCCTCTGCTGTGCATCCTGAAAGCGCGCACACTATTAACTATTTCCATATATGATCCGTAACGATGAAAGACAAAGTAAAGCACAAAAACTTTTTGATAAGAATTAATATGCAGTCAGCAAGAACGCATAACATACCAGAAGCAACTTTTCAGCCTCATCGTACTTCTCCTGCTGCATTAAACAAGAAGACTGCGCGACAAGTAATAAAGGAGTGGCTCCATACTTGTCAATCATTTCCTGGTAGATGTAGAATGCGTCTTTCAGTTTATCTTTCCCCTGAATAAAGAATTAAAAAGTGCTTTTGAAAATATGCAAATTTTTTTTTGACAAGTCTTACCAAAGCTGAATTAACCCAAGCAAGGGCCAACTGCGTAACAGTCGCATCCTCATCAATTTCTTGCATTTTCTTGATTTCCTTTAGGGCTAAATCAACCCTGTCTATTTTAAGCAAACATTGTATATAAGCCGCTTTGCACTCCAATGAGTCGCCTTGATGAAGTATCCTCAGTGCGCTATCAAAATTCTAAATACCGAAAACGTATTTCAGAAATAAAGTCGACTCGACCTAATAATCAGAAAACAGCAAACGTCTCACATCTTCATGCATATAAATAAATGCGGCCATCAAGCAGTAAACATCATCAGCAGGAAAGTCTTCATTTAATTCGTTTTCAATTTCCGCAACTATACCTGACCTTAAATCCAAAAAACACGTTATACTTTGAAAAAAACACCAGAGGAAGTGGAACTAAACATTAAGCAACAAAACCTTTCTGCAGGATTAGCCATGTATTGGGCAAACCGTCGGACGGCTTTCAAAGGTGGCAAGGTAGTATTCTCATCTATTTCACTTAATGCTATTGAAGGCTTATTTTTTGCAATGTATGCACGGTACATGTACGTGTCTCGCTCCAATTTCTCCTCATCTGTTTTTAAACGAACATTCTAAAACAAATCATACTCTGTCTCATGATATTCTTACAGGGTATAAGCTTGTGCGAGTTGCACTCACCACCAACGTTGCACAAAACTTGTTTTTTTTTTTTATACTCAAGAACAAAATAAAAACTATTCAAAAAATATAAAAAACTCAATTAGTTCAACAGATAGCTTTTACCTTTCAACTCTAATTTAGCAAAAGCCAAAATTTAATCCAAAATATCATTTGCTGATTTCATGACATGCAATCCTTTTCTTTTACACATTTTGACTTATCCTTTACTCCAGTTGAAGAAGGAAGGGAAGAGGGTGGTAGAGAAAAATGGAATAAGAATAAGGAAACAAGAAACCTCTGATACCGGTGAAATCCCAGACGTGCACATACAAGTTGTAAAAGTTCCTTGTCTTTTAAAAAAAATTCAACACAGCTTTTAGTGAAAGCATACTAATAAAGTGACATCGACCAAAAAATTTTTACATACTTCCTCCAAACAAAATTCTTACCGCTTCGCTAATTTGAATGAAAAAATAATATCACATAAATAATGTTTACTTAATCTTCCAAGTTAAACCAAGAAAATAATCATTCCTAAGTTGAAAAACCAATGACAAAAATAAAAGGTATTCTGGCGCAGCAAAAAAAACTTTTCTTGCATCAACTCCAGTTGGATAACCGCTGTTTGTCAGGAAAAAGTGCGCCACTGACTTAAACATAACCTATACTACAAAATTTTCTTTTGGCAATCTACATTTACGAAAAGATTTAGTCCAGTTTACTTTTAAAAAATATATGAAAGTAAGTTGCAAAAAAAAACATACTTGCGCCTCATTAATACAGTTTTGATAGGCTCCCAAATAAAAATTATTTTTCACTTCAAACAGCACGTCTATGCCTCCTGCGCTTGCCATTACCTACAATGCAAACTGATTATTGAATCAGGAAATGATAAATCAAATCATTTTGAAAAATGACCATTTGATAAACAAAAAAACATCGTTTAAGCGCTTGTGCTTACACGAATCAATTTAAAGTAAGCGATAGAAATGACAGAAATTAAAATTTGCTAGCTATTTTCAGTATCATGCAAATCAAATAAACCACCATTTTGATGTTTTTAGCTATACCAGTGATATGCTTACGATAAATAAAGGAAAGACGACAATAATTACGTGAATCGAAAGAGCGAAATAAAACAACAATATCGGTACATTATGTTTCTGACAATCTTACTCTTAACTAATTTAAACAAACTTTGTAAACTCAAAAACATTATAACATCTTCATAGCCAGTAAATGACAGGACTGGAAAAGTAAAAAGTCTAAAAAAGCAAAATCGAACCATCTGCCATCATCAAAAAAACAAACGAAAGAGGAGCTAAATCTGGCCATAAAAACAGCAGCAAAAGTAAGACTGATAATAAATCTGATCGCGAAACTCTTGACCTGTATGCCCAACTTGAAACCACTTATACAACGAAAACACAACTTATATATTCATATATAACTTCGTTGCACTTCCAACGCAAACCGAACATCTATAGTTCCCTTTGACTTTGACAACAAAATTCGTCACACAACGCAGCAAACGAACGAACAATGCTTGCCAAATACAAATTTGCAACGTGGAAAGACGCAGAGCCTCTGACACACTTATATTTGGACACATTAAGAAAGCCTACAGGAGAGAGCGGTGTTGCCCCTCGTTTGCACATATTACTGGTTTACTGGCACTGCATGACTTTAGTTTCCATACCAGAAACATACGACGTACCCACGAAATGGTCGTCCTCACCACCCCAAGAGATCGGTTTGCGGTTCCCAGAAAAATAAGCCTCTTGATACTCCCTTATGCAACAATACCTTCTGTACAGTTCCAGTAGCTTTAATAACCTCAACTACCTTTCAAGAACTTGGCTCGAGCGCAAAGGAAACACTTATTGTAAAATAATGCAAACTTCACCCACCAGTTTTCAAAGGAACCACATCGGCAAGAAAGCCACACAGCAAACTCCAAAATATCAAAAGCAAAAATCCAGTACACAACCCTACAAAGAAAAAGCACCATGCACACTTTTCACTTTTGAAAATACTGCAATGTCGCCATTAAGCAGCCAGGACACAAATTAAAATTCGCAATTTGAACAACCTGTTGAAGTGAACTTAAAATGAACAAACGTTTATTCTTCTTATATCGTAAAGCTCAGGTCATCAATACGATTACATTAAGATTTTCTGCTACGACACATTCTAGTGAAAGATTGGTGGAATTGTCGCTAAACAGCTCAAAATCTGACTTCCGAAGCAATGCTCTTTTCATTTCTAGTGGCGTGACTAATAATTAAAAGGACTATAAGTAACCATCTGCCTCTTTCTTCAGGATATTATAACTTGGAAGATCTTGTAACTGGCGGAGAAAAATTCACGGTTCACAACAGAAACATACTAAGTAAACAATATTATATAGTAATATTAATTATTCATCAGCGATCTCTAAAGTACTTTTCAGCCGTCGTATCATCAAGAAGAATTTTCGGTCTCTCCCTCGCCAACTTGTTGTTCAGACCCAATCGCGGAGAAGTCAGTCCATGTCTGACGTGGTAGGGCTGGAAATAACTTCAGTAAAAATCAGTAAAAATTTTATAAAACGCAAAATACCTACACAACAGCCCTTTTTGAAAGCTTGATGAGGAAGAAATAAAACTGGTAACTTCCTATCATGAAAAAAAGATTTTTTTCATATAAAATACTAAAAAATCATTACCTCATAAGGATCATCCACATAATAATGAGGCCTTAACCAGAAAGGTGTCATAGTCCGGTCAAGAATAAAGCATTCTTCCTTAGTACAAGTCTCATAATATAAGCTCGTCTTAAAGTAACAGCTTTGTTAATGAGAGAAGTTAACAACTAAATGTTTAATTAACCCTTAAAGAAATAATGACCCATATAGTTAAGTTTGCTCAATCAAACTTTATTTTCCCACCCATGAACTAAACCACTTCAAGCAACAAAAGCTGCAAAGTTATAAAACTCACAGAAATATGATGGTAGCATTTAATAATGGCAGAAAGTGTTAAAATGGCACCAACTTTTAAATAGTTTTCATCTTTAGCATAGCGTTTTTTGTACTTTCCAGGTCTGGCATGAATCCACATCCCACTATTCAATCTTTTAAAACGATCCAGTACATCCTGGCAAGGGCGTTTCCTACCTTCTTTTGGATCAAATCTTCAATTTAGGAATTGGTTCTTTCTGTTGACTGCTGAATATTTATTAACCTTACCTAATGTGGTACTCCCAGTGAGGTATCCTAGCAATCGTCCTCTTTTGTTTGACAATACAGTTCGACGCAGCAGTGGCTAACACACTTACCGGTCTACTGCAGCCAGCACATAATAGTAGCATAAATCTAAATTGATAGACATAAGCGATATTTAACGAATATCTTGGGAAGAAAATAGAACGTTTTTTCAAAGAGCACAAGATGAAAATCCTGGACAACAACCTCATGTTCTAACAAAAGTTCTTCAACTTCAGAGCAAGATTAAAAAGTAACTTAGAAAAACAACTTTTTTAGTTAAAAGAACCAAACAAAAACTGATCATTGGAAGAATGACTCATAAAATGCAGTGAAATTTATGGTTTCATCTCCTCGTTCTGCTTAAAACATCACATTTCTATTGATGAAAAGCAAAAGTAACAGACTTCAGAAAAAATGAGACTCGCATTTACTTTTAAAATACTTTTTTTTGTTGTTGCTGTCTCCAGCAAGTAATAAAGCAACTTAAGTTGGCAAAATTCCAGTAAAGCGTATAGCCGGTAGCCATCGAGGACCAGTAGACTTCCTTCCAGCGTTACTGCCAGCAAACAGGGGAAGCCATTAATCCTGCTAGTTGGGGCGCTTAAGCCACCAACAAACTTCGGTGTAATAGCTTATTTCCTTTTCTTAGTTCTGGTGAAACCGAATGTCATTCAGTCGTGTGGAATCTTTTGAAAGCAACTGGATAATGAATTGTGATTGGTAAGAGGAAGTATAGTGAAAAAAGTTGTCATGTAGAAAACCAATCTGGAAGTTACAATTATTTGGGAATGGAAAGTTGAAAGCTTCTAGTTCCTTTACTTTTTAGACGGCATCGAAAATTTGTGGCATTGGACTGAGTCTGCTTTCATCTGTAACACAAAAAAGATGAAAGTTAACCTCACTCAAGTATACAAATAACGCAAAGAAAGGGAATTTGGATGTAGCTGAGAGGCAACTAAGGATTTTCCGCACGCTATTGCAATAAGTGTGCTCCCTTCATCAGAGCTTTTTTTCACCGTCGACCTAAATTCATTCTTGCATGCAGGGTTCTCAACTCAGCCTAATTCACCTTCAATAGTTTCAGACTTGTCTGTTTAGTTTTAGCTAACTTTCTAAGTATAATTCTATAATGTCGTTTGTTGAGACTCGTATACATCACTCATCCAATTCGTCTACTTGAATTTCTTCCAGATTCCTGGGCTTGCGGTTACAAAGTAATTGCACTAACCGTTACACCACTTGTTACCATGTATGCAGCCTTGTGAAATGTCAGAAAGAATAAGGCGATAGCGGAGAACTAGATCGTTAGAAAGTTGACAAAATAAATAAGTCTAAAACTGTCACAGGTAAATTACGCAACGTCGAGAACCCATATTACATATAACTGGATTGACAGTTAAAGAAAAAAGCAAGTCGGGGGGTGAGGACGTTTAAATACAATTTCTAGTTTTACAGCACTTTGTTTGGTAAATCATAAAACGTTATTCGGAGGTACGGAGAACACCAGTAAAGGTATTCAATCCTGTAAGAGAGAGGCTCCTTAAACGATTATTATTCCATCAAAATGGACACTTCCCTCTGCTAACTGGTAAAAAAGCTGATTTAAAATGTACGAGAAATTTAAGATGCAAATCCGTATGGTACGACACTGGCGAGTGACTCGAGAGAGTTGATTTTAGCCTTTGGCAAAAATTTGACCAAAAAGTTAGAGAGAAGCAATCCAAGGTTCTGCTAAGTTTTCTGTTCGTTCTTCTTACAGGAGTCCTCAAAAGAGGATGAATTCAACCTTTTGTCACTAAATTGTAATGTATATTTGTTTACAGTGTACCTTGTAGAAATACGGTGTGGATTATTGGAAGGATCAGCTCGCTGCCTACCCCTTTCAGTAAGCATGAGGCTACCTACTTTCGAAAGTACATTCCCGGGGTCGAAAGAAAGAGTGCCAAACAGAATTTGTAAGGGATCTAGCCGTACTACGTGGAAAAGCATAAGGGCAAGTGAGTGACGGGTAGTTGAACTTATGAGAATTTAAGCTATCCATTAATTTCGATTCCACTTCTGCAGGAGTCTACTGTCACCCCCCGTTTAAGGCGAGAACATTGAAAGCCACTCAGCAATAAGTTTTATACAGAAGACACAGATACTGAACTGCTTGCATCGTCCCGTGTGTTTTTCGGCGCATGTCCTTTATAAAACCTTGGCTGCTCAGTATCTACCAATGTTTCCGGCTCATGACACAAGTGAAGAAAACCTGGCGTGTAATTACAAATAAAGCTCCTTTTGAAGGAGTTTGACCCTCGTTATCCAACTAAATATTCAAATGAACCCTTCAAATCTGTTAAGTAAAAAATTGTGAAAGAAATTCTTCAGACACTTTTTCTCCCTCAGCTGGGTCTGAACTAGCGTCATAACTTCCTTCGGCTTTCCTGTAACGGGCCGAAAAGAAAAACGACTTACAGCTTACAAACAGCAAAGAACACGGCAAATCTTAAAGTCCTGCATATAATAGTTTGGAACTAGCGAATATCAAAAGTGTTAGATTCTCATGAATTTTACTTTTAAGGGTCCCTTTAAGGCAGAAGACATTTCGCTTAAGTGGGCTTGAAGTACTGTTCAAGGATTAACATCCCTAGTAAAGTTAAAAATGAATTAAGCAGGTATGTTTCAAATTCTGAGAGTAAAAAAACCGCCATCAAAACTAAAGCTGTATTAACAAAACCAAAGTTAAACTTGCTAATTATTTGTTGTTGTAGAACAAAAAATGTTGCAGCAGAGTTATAAGGAGATCCCAGAACAACTGCCTTAACTAATCAGGTGTTAGCACCATAACGAAAAAAAAAGTTGAGGCGCTTCTGTACTTAAGCATATCCACTTTCCAAGCAAGTTTTTCTTCTCTATTAAGCCACTTTTGCTTCTTCTTTATATGCAGTTCACGACCGAGCGTGATTTTACTGTTGGAGTTTCAGACCTGTTTAGAGACTTCTTTCTAATCCTTTAACAGACTAGTACGCCACTGTCACTTTGAGTCTTTTAACTTTTCATGAACCGACCTTCCGGTAGCATGTAATATAGTGTAATTATGTTTTGTAACTGCAGTTCTAGAAACCTATAAAATGTAAATTATAAAAGCAACTGAACTGTAAAGGCTGCCACGATGGCAGAACTTTAAGCAGACAAGAACCAGCCCGTGGAGGGGACTAAAGCGGCTGCTGCACAGTCATTACAAAACTTAATTGTTACCAAATATATTGCGCAACCATCGGAGAATCAGTCCTGCAAAACGCTATGATACTTTAAACGAGAAATTAGCGAACGATAAGTTATTAAAAGGTCTAGAAGTATATAGATGAGTTTGAAATTACAACAGATAAATCGAGTGCGGTTGCGGATTTCGTTCAAGTTATGTTAACATCAAAGAAAAGCATGTTTGCTGGTGGTACATTTGACAGTAATAGCTCCAAAACTTCTTTCAAATTTGGCAATTTCATATCTTGCTGCGAAAACTAAAAGCGGTAACTAACAGAAAGGATTTCGCATCAGCAAAATTCAGTTTGACTTTTAGCGCTGACCAAAAGCATTCATTCAGAGGTTTTCTCAAAAATTTTTTTAGCTGCTTATTAAAATATTACACTTTTCTAGCAAAAAGCAGTTCCTAAGCCATTTTTGCAATCAACATTGACGCCCGCTTGAAGATTTCAAAACACTTCCGACTTTACCACTGGTATTTAAACTACAGCTTCATCTCTAAAGTGACGGCTTAAATTTTGCTTGATATCATACACCTTAGTCCTGAACAAGACCAAACTATTTGCATCTTTCAAAATCCTACGGAACCACAAAGCTGCAGCACGGGTTTTTCAACAGTCACCTGTGTACACTACTACGGTTCTCTTTAGCAAGAAAAAGTAATAAAAAAATCCATAAGAAGCAGTTAATGTTGAGTATAATCTTTTTCGGTCGCCTACTCAAGCAACAACTGATTAGATCAACAGACAAACTGCTCACTGCAATTCCAGGAACCTTTCTGCAAATGGTATTGGCCGACCCATCTACACGTAGGCTACTTTCCTGCTCAAAATTTAATGCCCATAAAGCAATAACAATTTCAAAAATAGTCTGTTACCAACGTACCGTAAAAACTTAATGAACTTAGCAGAGCGACGTAAAAGCAGCGTTAATACTGGGCCAGAAAAAAACTTATTTGGAATGGGATCGACGACTAGTACAACACACAATGCAGAACCGTGACAAACTATTGCATTCCAGCTGTATCCGTTTTTGAATCCACTGTTAAAAAGAACCATTATTTATTTATTTAATTGTTTAAATTACAAAATTGCTGAGTGGAATTCTCGAGCTTTCAGAAATTAAATTTGCAGTAGTTCGAGTTATTAATTTAGCTGCAAAAGAGACTACTAAATGCTGAATATAGAAATGAATCCATATTCTAAACTTGGTTCAACAACAAAATAGAATAAGTTACCGTTTCCTGCTCTGTCGAACTACTCCACTTCGTAACACATAATACAATGAAATACACGTTTAACTAACAGATTCTTTTCAATAATATACAGTTACAGTAAAGAAAAAAAAGAAAAATGAAAGTTCATAAATGACATGTTAACGTCAAAGCATCAGTGACAT